AGGCCGCGTACCTGAGGGACACGCTCAAAGTATCCCAACGGCCTTCCTAGCGACACCCTAAGACCTGAACCCTGAACCCACCCTCAGCACCACTGAAACCTCTTAACATCCCTAAACCCCAAACCCTACCCTAAGACCTGCTGCAAAGCCTTCAAAAAGGTTCCTTTAAGGCCTCCTTAATAAGGAAATCCTACTATAAAACCCTACAAAACCTTACAAAACACCATATAAAACCCCTATATAAAAAAGCCTTCAGGGCTCCTTTTCAGGAATTAAAACCCTACAAAATACCAGTTTACCCCTATATAAAGAGCCTTGAGGGCTCTTTTTTTAAGGTAAAACCCTACGAAATACCAGAAAACCCCCTATAAAAAGCGCTTAAGGGCTCTTTTTTTAAGGTGTCCCACTCGAAGCCTCTGTAAAACCCTACAAAATACTCGAAACCCCTATAAGGGCTCCTTTTTTTACCCTAAACCCCAAACCCTAAACCCTAAACCCCCTATCAAAAGCGCTGAAGGACTCCGTTTTAAGGTGTCCCCCTCGAAGCCTCGGGATCTCCCCAGGTTACCACACCGCCATCGCCTTGGGGAGCTCTTCTGGCATTGAAGGGCTTTTGGTACCCAGAGAAGGGTTCCTCTAAGGGATCCTTTAAGGGATCTATAGGGTTCCTTTTAGGGATCTATAGGGGTTCTGGCATTGAAGGGTGTTAGGCTGGGGGGGGGGGTTGGGGTTTAGGGTGTCGGGGTTTAGGGTGTATAGGGGTTTAGGGGTTAGGGGTTTAGGGTTTAAGGGTTAGGGGTTTAGGGTGTTAGGGGTTTAGGAGCGTAGGGGGGTTCAGGCTCCTTTTAAAGGGAGAGGGTGTAGGGTTCGTGTATTGTAGCAGCCATGGAATATAGGGTTAATAGGTTGCGCTCTTGAGAATCAATGGTTTTTGGGTGCGTTTAGTATTTAGGGCTCTTTCAAGGGACAGGGCATAGGGTTATAGGGTTCCTTCAAGGGTTGTGCTCTTTCGGAGTTAGGGAGCTGCGGTTTAGGTTTCAGGGTTTGGGGTGCCCTTTTGGCCTGTTGGGGATCCATAAAAGGATCCTTAAAGGTTTGGGGTTTAGGGCTCCTTTCAGGTTTTGGGGCGAGGTTAGGGCTAATTTTTTGGGGGGAGGTTGGGTGTAGTTCAGGTAGTTCAGGGCTTAGGGTTTATGCTTAGGTGAGAGTAGCCAGATAGTACGCTGACTATTTTCGTCAGTGTCCTGCAGAGTAACTGCGCCCTTTTCCCGAGTGTTTAGCCCCATTTCCGAGGATTCAGCTGAAAGCGAGGGATACTACTGGTACTACTGGGGGACCTAGCGTATGGGACCCCACCCTAAATTCTAAACCTTAACGATCCTAAACTCGAAACGGCCCTAAACGCGAAACCTAACAAACGGGCACTGAGACCGTCGCTTCGGACAGCTGCGAAAGCCCGGAGAGTCGTCTGTATCTGCGTCACGTCCTTTTTTTTTCTGGGGCGGGTGCTTTTAGGGTTCCTTAGCATTTAAAGCTCAGTGGGTTTAGGGGTTCAGTTGTTCCGGGGTGCAGGGGATTACGGGTTAAGGGCTTATGTTACGGGCCCTTTTCCTGGCTTCCAAAAGATCTCTGTATAGGGTCGAGGGTTTAACTTTCAAGGGGGATTGAAGGCTAACGCTTAAGGTTCAGGGTCCAGTACCTAGAGCGTACATCGGCTGCCGGAACATCGCAATATGGGCCTTAAGGGAGTTCTTGCTAGGAGCTAGGCATGGAGAATTCAATGTTAAAGGTATATGGGACTTTCCGAAATTAGGGGTACCTTATTTGGGGTCCTTATAATAAGGATCCTACTATTCAGGGTACTATATTAGGGTCCCCTATTTTCGGAAACCCCCATATGGACTATGAGGGATTTAGGGCTTCGGCTCGGAGTTCAGGGTTTTACAGGGTTAAGCAAGCACTTTTCAAGCGATGAGTCGATTGCTGTGACTTCAAGTCTTAGCATTTGTGGGCTTCTGGGCTGGGGTCCCAAAGGGTCTGGGTTTAGGGCTTTAGGGCTTTGGGGCTTTAGGGCTTTAGGGCTTAGGGTTTAGGGTTTAGGCTTCAGGGTTTGGGGTTTAGGGTTTAGGGTATGTCAGCTTTGGGCCCTAAACCTGAGATCCAGGTCCTTTAAGCGATCCTGCACGGCGCGGCTGTCACCGCCATAGTAGCTATCACCCCAGGACCTCAGAAGGTAGAGCATTCCCCAACCCTCCAGGTACCTACCGTAAAGGGCCATAGGGGCTCTAGTAGCCTATATAGTAGGTGCCTGGGGGATTAGGGATTATGGATGTCGCAAACCTCGATGCATGTGTGTCCCCACACACTCACACATCTCTATGTAATACATAGATGTAGGTATACGTCGACATAGACATACATGCAGCTTTGGGTATTGGATGGGGAAAGGGCTCTGCAAAAGCAAAACAGCTCTAGGGCACCGTCGCAGGGTCGTGTTGGGTGTTGATGGCAAGTTGATGGGGGAAAGGGCTCTGCAAAAGCAAAACAGCTTTTCGAAGAATGCGTGTGTATAAACGGACGAAACCTGCAATACAACTCACTGCGCAGTTCCCTTTCGCATCTCTTTTCAGGTTTGTACAAATCTACAGACAGCGGTTTTAGGACAGCCTCTACGTACATACATACATGCATACAGACATACCTACCCACATACATGACATACATGAAACACAGGAAATACATGACATACATGGCATACATGACATACAGAGACAGAAAGACATCCGTCTCTGGTCGTTCCTGGATACTACCACCAAGTTTACTTCCCCAATAAGCCAGGGACATAATAGGTTAAACTTTCAGATATTACTGACTTATAAGAACCCCAAAAGTTTATTAAAGGTTGGGGTAGTGGAGAACTAGGTGTGTGGACAAGGCACACGACTGCACCATCCGACTTTATAGCTGCAAAGGCGGCGTGGGTCGACTGAATCTCCTCACCCCAAGCGGCCACGCCGAGGTTTGGGGGCTTCAGGGCTTAGGGTTTAGGGGTTTAGGGCTGAGGGTATAGGGTTTAGGGGTTTTGGGGTTAGGGTAGAGGGTTAGGGGTTTTGGCTTGGGGGGGTTGGTGGCTTGCCGCTATGAGGTGCGACTTGCCGGAGTTTGCGGTCTTAGGAGGCTTACTGAGGGCTTACCGTCGTCTTTGGGTTTGGGATATGTACTCAGGGCATCGACTTAGTTAACCGGGGCCAGTTGTTGTGCCATTTTGCATGCCTGCTGGTTTCAGTCCAACATGACAGGCTGCAAATGGATCCCTCATGTAGATACCCGGAACCTGCTAAAATCTGAGGAAGTATCAATCCCCAAAAGACGGCGGCGCACTAACAAGGGCTCTGCGTTGTCTCATGGCCCGACTTGAGCGGAAGGCCTTGAGCCAGAAACCGTAAGCCTTAAGCTTCGAAGCACCGTCCTTCACATCGTGGAGCTGCTTCTGCACCTGGGTACTACGCTGGTTGAGGCTCAAGAAATGCTACATTTGGTCCGATAATAATTTCTGTCGAGATCCAGGGAACCTGCGTGATTAGTGCATATTTAAAGGGTCCAATGCACTGCTATGGGGGACAATTTCCCAAATCATAATAGTAATTCCTACTACAGAAACCCTACATTCTCGCCGACATTCTACAACAAAGGTACATAGGATGGCCTACACTCCAGCTCTTGGCCACCTAGCCTAAGCAAAAGCTCGAGACCCGAATCTCGAAAAGCCTAACTACCCGATGCCACAACCTGCTAGCCCGACCATAGGGTCTCGTCCAAAAAGGGATTCTGAAAGGGACTTCAATCTATGCTATGCCCCTGTCACGGTTCCGTACGAGTTATCATGCCCTGAATCCTAAACCCTAAACCCTAATCCAACAAGCCCCCAAACTTCGGAGACCCTTAGATCCCTGAAGCTCTCGAGCTCGACAGCGCTAAGCTCGAAAGCCTTGAACCCTTACCGAAGCCCGTCGCAAAACGAAAGATATGGCCCTAACTAAGCAGACACTACCGTAGAGAGACCTCGTGGCCTTGGGGGATACGACGTGAATCCAGCCCGGAACTTTGAGAAGCATGTCTCTGCACATGGCAAAGAATGCAATCACTGCAAAGTATATCAGGGCGGAGGGTTTCGGGTTTAGGGTGTAGAGCAGAGCGGGGCTTGGGGGTTTAGGGCTGAGGGTCTAGGGGTGTAGGGCAGCGTCAGGGTTTAGAAAGTTCAGGGCTGACGGTGTAGGGGTTAGGGGTAACAGCTACGGCACTACTGGGGCATGGTTTTTGAAGCTAATCTCGGAAAGAACACTTGACACAACTAGACCC